TTCCAAGTCTCACTTTGGAGCCCGGAAGCGATGACCTCTGAGTATCTCAGCCTCATTCCTGGGCAGCAGGGCAGGGCAGGGCTGGGTTTCTTTGCCACCAGGAAGGGAGCTCAAGAAGACAATGGAAAGCAGCTCTTCCTCACCTTGATTCTGCCCAGTTTCTTCTGAATCTTGTCTGAAACTTGGTCTGCCCAATATTTTTCCCTTAGGAAGTCCCAAAACATTCGGCCAAGCATGGCGTTGACCCAAGCTGTAGGAGGGGTGGGGGTCAGAATCTCACCACCAAGGAACTGAAAGGAACAAAAGGGAAAGAAATCACCCATCTTACCGGACTATAATGGCCGCATGCCCTGGTGGGATCTAACCACCCTTTACATTGCTCACTATGCTAAATTGAGGGAATTGGCAGAAATTATAAGACGGGGTGGGTGGGGTGCTAAATCTTGTTAGTTGATGCTACTTAAGTGCTGGGAAGCACAACATACATAAAAACAGAATGGGGTTTCATTGCGTGGCCACCACCATCTTAACATTTTCGACCCCCTTCGGTAATTGCCTCTGATTGCCTTTGATATCATGAGGTATTTTGTGCAGTCAGCAAAATGGTACCTTCACCTTACGGGTCTGAAAGTTGGCATTCAAAATATTTTGGCAAAACCTGAATACTTGGGGACGGTACTATTAGCTTTAATCTTTCAGCAAGTAGAATGTCGCACACCTAACCAGCAGCCAGTAAACTCAGTGTAGCATATCTCTCTTATTTTATCAGAAAATAGATAATTTTTTTATTTTTTTAGACTGCAGATCTGAGGACATAATATGGGAAGCTTTGGGGGAAGCAATTCTGGCTGAAGCAAAGAATAAACAGCTTTTAAATAGCGAAAATAATATGTGTCTTGCAAAATGTCCAAGATATATTCTAAATAATCAAAGATCTCATTGATCACATTGAATCCAGATGGTTCTATTTTAAAGAAGGAGGTTTGAAAAGCAATTCCTAATCTTTAAATTTTGCTGATGCATTTTTTAAAAATACAATGTTTAACTTGTTCAGTTTTATATGTGTATGTGTATGTGTACGTATATATAAATAAAATACACACACACACATAGGTAATCCTTGTTTAGCAACTGCCTTGTGTAGCGACTATCTGCAGTTATGACGGTGATGAAAAAGTAACTTTATGACCAATCCTCACATTTACGACCTTTGTAGATCTGTAAAGCAAAGGAAAGCTGAAGTGAGATCATAAGCACAGTTGCAGTTTCATCTAGCAACTGCTTTGCTTAACAGCTGAGTTGCTGGTCCCAGTTGTGGTTGCTAAATAAGGACTACCCTGTATGTATGTATATATGTGTATATATATGGGTGTATGTATGTATGTATGTGTCTGTGTGTCTGTGTGTGTATAGACACACACACACACACACACACACACACACACAGAGATTTCAGCAAGGTTTCCTCACCTTTTTGGATCCAGGGCTGGCTGTTGCACTAGGACATGACTTCAGGTTGGAGTCACTGACTGCCGGAATGATTCGGGACATGTACACCTTGTAATCCGATAACAATTTTTCTTGGATAGTGATGCTCAGGTCCTTGGGCTTGATTGCAGAGAGGAGGTCTTCGGTGCTATTCCCACTGCTGCTGTTATTGTAGATCTCCTTTCCTGCGGGGATGGGCTGGTTTACACCTGGCCAAGAGAAGGGATGGTTGCTATAACAGAAAACGCCAAGACCGGTCGGGACTGGGGGGGCAGCCATATCCATGTTATGAGAGTTGCGGCTGTTAACTTGCATAAATAACAGAGGTGGGTTGTGCTGATGCCCAGAATTTGCCGACTTACTAACTTTTAGCACAAGCTTTTACCAATCGGGGTTTGCTTCTGAGTGTAAATCACTCAGACTGGGTTTGGGACCAAAGTGGGGATCAAAAGTTAACCCTCAGTAGGTTCTAATCCAGCTTGGTTCTCAATGTTATTTACTTCCTAAAAAATCAATCACACGCTTGTTAACTGAAGAAACAGCAGCTTGGCTCAAGTGAGACTATATGAAACGTGCCCTTTCTTTACAGAGCACCCAAGCAGAGGCATCTTCAGGGGCTCAAGAAAGTCAAGGTGGCATTATCAACCATGCGATCAAAGACCCACTCCCTTTCTGTGAGTGACTTTTTTTACACCCCCACCCCCACCCCGACCCCAGTGGATATCCTAGCATGCAAGAGTTACCCTTGGCCTTAGAGCGGTGTTCCAGGTGCCCCATCCTAAAGGATGAACATGGCAACCAGGAACTGGATTGGGCCAGGACAAAAGCAGATTTGATTCAATTTAACTTAAATCAGAGTAATTATAAGCAGAACATCATTTCAGCCCAGGAATTGATAATTTCCTCATTCTATTTTTGAAAATTAAGAGACAATCATATTAACGAACGCTGGGAGCTGGACCCACACTTCCCCAGCCTTCTTCAACCCTGCTTTACCTGAGAGGAGTTCACCTTGGCTGGTGTGGTGTAGCTCATGGTGTTCAGCCTGGGAGGCCCTCACGAGGTATTGGTACCACTCTTCCTTATCCCTTCCTGTTCTGCCAAAAAGATAAAGTGTCCTTTCTGAGTCCTCAGCTGGGTGCTGCCCTGATACTTCCTTCTTTGGGTTCTCCTCTCCTGGAGACTCCACATCTTGGTCCTTTGCTGCTGGTCCTTTAGTCTTCAGATCCACCTGGTCTGGGAAAAGAATGCATATGGGATATTTTTTGTTCCACATCCTTTTGCGAGCCAACCCAGGTGGGAAGAGGAAGGCCTGAAAAATAACAGACAATTAAAAGTCACAAGAAAGCCAAGCCACCTTCTCCATGGAGAAACAGCTTGAATTACAGTAGCAGTCCTTTCACAATCCAAGTGCCATTGCGTGATCTGCCAGTCCCTTCAAGGAGCCATAGGTGCTCGATCTTGTGCTCTTTGGTGTCTGAATCCCGTGAAACCTTCCCTTGGAATGCCCAAAACTTGTGATCTTACCATAAGAATTATTATCCTAAGGCATCTCTCATAAAATTACCCAAATCTCACAAGAAGGGTGAGATCTGAGCCATTTCAATTTTAACTTCCTTCTGAGGGATAGTTTTATGCGGCAGTGGCTGTCTGATCACCCTGTTCTATAAGTAATAAACTAAAAATATATTTGAGAAGTTGGGTTAAGAAACTAAAGCCAAAGGCAAAAAATTCTGATAATGTGGAGAACTTGAATATTTCAATTAAATAACCTTCCTTTTGATTTATGAATGCCTTTTTCAAACCAAAGGCCCTGCTTGAATCAGGACCATGGCAGTAGGAATAGAAGGGCTTTAATCCCTTCTGGATTACACTGGAAGAAAGGTTTCATTTGCAGAAAGGAACGGGGGGGTCTTCCTCCGACTGAATCGTACCTGCAGATGAGGGGCAAAGGATGAAAGCTCTCCCGGGCCTCTCCGCCAAATTCCCAAGCTGCACTTGCCAGATCCCCAGAAGAATCCAGTCACAAACTGCCATCTCATACTTGCTGCCAGATATTAATTAGCCCAACATTTGCACCCTCAGAACAGCAAGGACAGATGTGAAAGAAGCAATAGCCAAATTGGCAATGACTAGAAAACAAGCAGGGGCGTCTACAGAGAGAGGGTAAAAAAAGGATTTATCATCCTTCCCTTACCCATTCCAAAGACTGTTGGGGGGTCAAAATAGTCAAGATGATGGCCATGAGTGCATGATCACATCCTCCCCCCCCCCTTCCTCCTTTCCTTCAACTCTTTAAAGTAAAGAAAGGGTAGTGCAATAGAATAATTTTAGAAAATGGATTTTCTTTTTTTTACATATCACCTCCTC